TGCAGATGATCAGGTTTTAAGCCAACAATACTTCACTGTTTTCATACCAAAGTACACATATCCAACAGACATGGCTTCACCTGAATCTTATCCCTAAATACAGTAAACTACACTGGGGATAGCAAACAACTTTATCTTAACCAGGACTGGGTCATTCTTTGGACATTCCAGTTATTCTCAAAGATGCTTTACTTCTATCATGAATTGTTCTGCCTATATTCAGCATTTAAATTTAAATTTCTTATTAACACAGACTTTCCATAATTCGATCCTATCCACTTTTAAAATCAACCAATGTATAATAAACTTTTTTCCCCTAGTCAACATATACTGTGTAAAAGCCTGCCATGCAGAAAGCCATAATACACAAACTTTGCTCATTGTCATCTCCATCAAGCATTTTCCTAGTCATTTAACTAATGAATTCCCCCAATAGTCTTTGAATTCACTCCTGTGTCTCTTTGTATAAAGGTACACAAAGACATTCTTCCAATCATCAGGTACCAATGCAATATTCACATGCACATTAAGTAGGTTGCAGAGCCATTTTCACATCCATTAAATAACCTTTCTCCAGGCATTATCCATGCCTGCAGCCTTATCATTTTCCCAACATTTTCATGGCAATTATGTTTTCTCATATTTTTTCTTTGGCAGCAAGATATATAGAACTTATTTCAATTCTACTCTTCAATTTTTCACTCTGTTTCCTATACACATCCATAAAATAGTCCTTCCAGCAATCCTTCCCTTTAGATTCATCTCATCTCATTTCATCCCTTTTATTCTTAATTCCATGTGATCTGCTGGAGGTGGGCGAACATTATTTTAATTTCTGTAAACACGTAACTCTTCAAATCTGTCCTTGCCCATAGGTAGAAAATAGATTTGCATATTATTTCTCATCATGGAGTGTAAGTTGCTACTTTCTTTCATTCTTAAGGTTAAAACTCATATTTTCTTCAAACTTACATTTCGGTCTGTTTCTTATACTTTGAAATAAATTGGGCCACTCATTTCTACTTATGCAGTTTCTCCTTTATTTGCTATCAAATATTGTTTTATGCTGTATCCTTATGTACATGAGATTCAGTAGAAGAGAACATATGTAGTTTAGGGTTGAACTGTGGAGTCATTGGTGCGCTCTCAGTTTGGCTGCTTGCAATGTTTCATTACACAATTAGAGAACATGATTAGTACTAATGTTAGTAAGTTTGGAGTTTTCTCACTCTTTATATACAGTAACTTGCTGTGTCAGTGTTGGCAACTGTACAACCAACATAAGCCATGAAAAGGATAACACTACCATATGTCAAAAATGTTTCAGAAACAACCAACAGACTATTACAATCATATGGCATCACAAAAGCTCATAAACCAACTAAAGCCCTCCAAAATTTCTTAAATAAATCAAAAGACTCAGTAGCTCAAGATGAAAAAAACAGGAGTCATCTCAGGGGTGAAATCTACTTACCTTCCCTACCGGTTCGGAAGTGCATGCATGAACCCTATGCGCATGTGAAAACATTTCTGCGCATGCTCAAAGGGTAAAAAACAGGTTACTTCCTGGTTAAAACCAGGAAGTAATGACAACCGGGTGGGTGGGTGGAGCCTTACACTGCTGTCACTACCGGTTCTCCGAACTACCTGCTGCCATCGCTACCAGTTCTCCGAACCACCTGCCGTCATTGTTACTAGTTCTCTGAACCACCCACCGCCATTGCTACTGGTCAGCCGAACCGGTCCAAACCGGTAGCATTTCACCCCTGAGTCATCTACAACATACAGTGTAAATACTGTAACAGCTACTATGTAGGACAGACAGGGAGCAGAGTGCATCCATGACTGCCAACTAGCAGTCAGAAGACATGATAAAAACCCTTTAATTTCACAACATATTGACATACTCAATCATAATTTTAACTGGGAAACTATGGGCATCTTAGACCAAGCCAAGTCTAAAAACGCTAGGGAATTTCTAAAAGACTGGCACTCTGACAAATTAGTCATCAATAGACACATAGACATAAACAATATCTACATACTGTGCAAAAGAGACAATCAACAATCTAAAAAGGGAACAAAATACCTCCCCACCAGCAATCAGTGCCTAGATGACCATAGATTAATTCCAAGATTAACATCAAACCAACAATCAAGTTAACAACATCCCATATAATATAATATAAACTGAGAGCAAACCCCACTCCTTACTAGAATTGATGATGTTACTTAGTTTGGGTAATGAAATATCTGCAGGAAAACAACCACGCTCAGAGACTACCAATATTCCCAATCTGTGTGAACCACTTCCCTTTCCATGTGGCATGTCTACTTTTGAACATATACATAATGCTCATTTGGAAGAATGCTAGACCCAAGTTTAGAAGTATCCAGGCACAGAATATTGTGTGAAGTGAAAGGAGCACACCCAGTGCTGTTCTCAATGCCTCTTCCAACGTTGTGACTTTTCAGTTGGGCTATTTCTGAATGTGGAACTAATGCTGTTCTGAAAATGTTCTAAACCAGGGGTGTCAAACTCAATTTCATCAGGGTTATGTTTGACCTCAGAGGACTGGGAGGTGGGGGGTGGACTGTATGTGGCCATGGTGGGCGTGACATGGGACCGCACCTCCACACACATGATTTTATACACTTATAAAAATAGAGAGGCATACATTTCTGTGATTTTGTTTTTTTAATACTTAATTGATCTACTTGATCTCCTTATGAGAGAGAGAGACCAGATCAAGAAACTGACTCCATAGGAAGACTAGAACGATATATTATTGACATAGGCTAGAGTAGCAGAATCCTGCAAGCCTGAAAAATAAAGTATTTTACCGTTCCTCCCTTTTATAACCTTCTGTGTCAAGGACAGCCTCCTGGAGCACTCCGGAGGCCCCATTTTGCATTCTGGCAGCCAAAACTGGTTGCAAGGGGGCCACGTGTGGCAGTGGTGAAATGTAAAATTTGTTACTATCAGTTCTGTGGGCGTGGCTTGGGGGGTAATATGACTGGGTGGGTGTGGCCAACTTTTTTTTAACTTTAAAAGCATCTTTTCTACAACCTCTTCAGCCGAAAAGGTTGCAGGAAAAAATGTTTTTAAAAGCCTCTGACGATCAGGCAACTCAGGTGTGATCGTCAGAGGCTTTTAAAAGCATTTTTTTTCCTACAACTCTTCGGTTGTAGAAAAAATGCTTTTAAAAGGCTCTGACGATCCCAGCTGAGCCGCACGATCATCAGAGGCTTTTTTTAAAAACTTTTAAAAGCTGAAGAGGTTGTAGAAAAAATGCTTTTAAAAGTAAAAAAACCAGCCTCTGATGATCACACGATTCAGCTGGGCATGGGGGGAGGGAGGCGCGCAGGGATTTTTGCTAGCAGTTCTCCGAACCACTCGCTGCCATCGCTACCGGATTGGGCAATCTGGTCCGAATTGGTGCCCCATTTTTTCTAGTAGAGATACCGTGGGCCAGTCCTTTGTTATTTCAAGGCTGGCCCCATGGGCCAGATCTAAGCACCCTCCAGGCTGAATCCAGCCCGCGGCCTTGTGTTTGACACCCCTGCTCTAAACCCAGGGCAAACCAGAGAAGGAAAAGGATTAGATAAACCAATTCTACTTTATTATAAGTCTACATTAACAGAATCTTGCAAGTACAAACTGTCCACCTTCACTTTTAACTGTTTGATCCATTATTCATTTTATTTTATTTTATTTTATTTTATTCATGTATTAAATGTATATGCTGCTCTTTTCACTGCTAAGCAACTATGGACAGCATACAATATAAAAACAAGAGAGCAAAATAAAGACATTAAAATGTTAATGTTAACTTTAAGCAACCAACAAACAAATGGAGTGGAGGTGGGGATTTCTTCTTAGTCCATTAACCACTTCCAGCATACAACACCCCCATTGGGCCCCCAAGCCCAATGTCAACAGAGCCAGGTTTTGAGACCCTTTCAGAAGGCTAAGAGGGTGGGGGGGGCAGATTTCATGTTGAGGGGCCAGAGGGCAGTAAAGGCTCTTTCTTCTCTTAGATCCCACCAACTGAAATTCCTTGGCCAACAGGATCCACAGCACATCCGTTCATCCTGAGTGAATGGGGCAGATTAATGCCATTGAGGTGAGATGGTTCTTCAAGTAGCTTGGTCCCATGCCATTAAGGTGGGTTCTTTCTTTCTCTGGGATCCTTGATGCTCTCTGAGCTTGGTGGTTTTCTTGCAGATGTTTTATTATCAAACTAAGTAACATCATCAGTGCTAGAGCCCACCCACTAGAGCCATGTTTAGAAAAAGCTAATCACTCAGGCAACTTTACGGTTGACTAAATTCTCTGTCCCAGGAACTGGCCTATGTCCACCCCCATTCCATCACACATTAAGGAGACCAAGTGGTCATTTTTCCTGCCAATAAGTGATGCTTGATTGGGGGGGGGGGTGTAAACAAAACCAGTCGAATCCCCCAACTATTTTCTGTAACTTATCTCACATTAAAACTGTAAGGACAGCACCACCCGCCAGCTTCATTGCTGAAGCAGAATTGGACTTGACAGTCACGGCAGTGCAATTATATGCCAGCATTATTTTCTGCTGGCTCAAGGGCTAGAAGATAACATATCAACGCGACTGTCTGGTTGTATCCTAAAGGCATTGCTTGGAATGTTATTTCCAGCCACCGCAACCACATGCAATCATGGTCCCAACTATTGGGGAAAGCATCACACAAATTTTCATCATCACAACTTTACAACAAGGATTTTTTTAAATGCATGATGAAAGGTGGCTTTCCACTGAAGCCTTCCACTCATAACTACTGTGCAGATTTTATTTTGCCATCAGACAAATACACACTAAATGGTAAATGAAGCAAAACTTTACACATCAGGGAGGGAGGGGCACCCTGGTTAATTATTTTCTCTTCTGAATGGACTGGGGGGAGGAGAATAAAGGTGAGGGACAGCTGAACGCAAGGCATCTGTGATGTTCTTTGCAGCCTCGGTTGGTCAACTTGACGTCTCACCGCCAACGTTGATTGTTGCCTGTTCTCAGTCTCGGATTATTCATGCTCAGATTGGGGACAGAAAGGACGCTGTGAGGAAAGCGCCTCGCGTCTCCGCAATGGCCATATTGCACCCCTCCGATTATGCCACGGCTGTCATCGGTTTTACGTCACATGTTCACCCTGCCCAGCCCAACAGTTCTCAGTAGGGATTAGCAACCAGCTGCCTGCTTTTTCGTCATCTTTAGCACCGTGTCTTTCATCGGCGGAAGAGAAGACCCAAGGAGGCTATTCAGCGTACCCGGGAGTGTGCCTGGAAGAGACGGAAGTGGCCGCCCGAGGCGCGCCGGGCAGCACTAGCGGGCGCCCCTTAGAATAAAAAGCTCGCTGAGGAAAATCCACTAGGCGGGCGCGACCGGCTTGAGTGAGGTCAGCAAGCGGGCCGGCCAATGAGCGGTGCGTTTGGGAAGTGCCCGCTCCTGGCGTGCGGCTGAAAGGGGCGGAGAGGCCGAGGTGGATGCGGTTCCCAACGACGGCTCGGACATTCCGGCACTAGGCAGGGAGCGCGGAGACGTGGCCCGGGGGGAAGAGAGGGAGAAGAAGAAGAGGACTGGGCTCCTTAGCTTGTTTCCGCTCTGACTTGACGGGGAGAAGGGAGAGAAAGAGAGCGAAGCGGAAGCCTTTTGCCTCTCCCAGGCACACACAGGTGCAAGCCGCGTCCAGCTGCCGGAGGCGATTAGCGCGCGCTTGGAAAGCTGAGGAGCCCCTGACCCGGGCGCCTGCTCGCCTCGCCTGAGAGGAGGAGGAAGAGGAAGAGGAGGAGGAGGAGAGGGGAAGGGAGGGGGGATATAGTTCTCCTCCCTTTGCCTCAGCCTTTTTGGCAGCGCCTCTTCGCCTACTACCACCTGGAGGGCGCGCGCCCCGGTTCAGCCATCCAGCCAGGTAGGAGTTTCCTTCTCGGCTCGGAGTCTTAAAAATCTCTCGTTTCGGGGGGGAACCTTTTGGCGCCAGGTTTTGCGCGCCTAGCTCGCGCTCCCCCGTTGGGGCTCTCAAAGTTTCTGGCAAGAATCACTTCGGGGTCGACGGCGCCAGACGGAGCGGCTTGGCGGAGACGAGTTGTTAAAAAGTCGACCCCGGAACGGAGAATCCGCGCTCCGAAGCTCCGAGAGTTCCTGAAAGCCGGGAAAAGGACAGCTGGAACGCCCCGTTCGGAACGCTGAACGTCGTTAAAGTCCAGCGCAAAAAAACCCCAGCTCGCCTTTGAGTGCCTGGCGCGTTTTCGCCGGATTAGCTCGGGAATCCTTGGGGGTTTCCTTAGGGCAAACACTTTACTCGGTGTCGGTTTGCCGGCGTGGCGTGGCGACGAGGCGTCCAGGTTTATCTTCCTGCTCCTTCGGTTTATCCAGGTGTGAATGTAAGCGCCGAAACGGCTTCTTCTTCCTTCTAGGGCAATCGCGAGGATTATGGTTTAGACCAGAGAGTCTATTTTAACCCCTGGATTTCCAGGGGGAAAAATGTCACAGTTTCAGTAGGAATAAAACTATTAGTTTGATTCCTTAAATGTCCCCCACCCCAGGACTCGTCCTCCCCCCCCTTCCCTTCCCTCTCCCCGTCCAGTAGTCTAAAATGCCAACTACCACTTTTCCGTTTCGAACAGTTGCGAATACTGATAATAAATCACCTTACACCACGTTGGCAAGAACCGTTTTATGTTTACTTGCTATGTAAAAATACCGTACAGGTAAACGATGCTTACCTGTTTATCGCCGCTATCCGCCCACCCCAAAAAGCCTGGCTTTAATAATTTCATTTAAATTAGTTGTTAAGGAGAGAGACTCGTCTCGTTTTTCGAGTTGACCAGGTGTTCTTTAAGGATCAAATGGATTTGTCTGATACATCTTTGTAAAGTTGCCTTACCTGAGATGTACCCTCCTTGCAAATTGGTATGCAGTCTCCGTAATGACTCTCAAAACGGGGGGGGAGGAGAAAGAAGGGGGTGAAGATGGTTCTCCATTTACTGAGTCAGAGACAGGATGGATTCATTGCTGGACTTCAAATGAACAGTGGTGCTTTTTTTTTCCTCTCTCAAATCTGGATTCATTTTTAAAGGGCACGATAATATATCTCTGGAGAGGCTGAGCTCCACATAAGGAAGCCCTCAGTTCAAATCACTCCTTTGTCAGGAATGCAATAGACTGAGCAAAACAGGATATTTTATATATATAATTTGTCTTCTGCTTACATGAGAAGGATACTGCCTTTCAGGGTCTTAGCAGAGTTGTCAATCAAGATTCAGTGGTGCTGTAAAAACTAACAAATTTATCATAGCATTTTTTTTTTGTAGACTGCAAACCACTTTATAAAGGTTTTAATTCTCCCTCTCCCTCCTCCCTCTCTCTGCCTCCCTCCCTCCCTCTTCTCCCCGCCTCCCCAATACACTAAAACAGCTATCAGCTCTGGAAACTGTAAGAATTGTGTGTGCTGACTTCTTTACGAAAATGTATATAGTATAAATATCCTTATTAATGTCCATTTTAATATATTGCTTTTACATGTTCAAAGTGATCTTCTTGAAATCCTTAGTCAATTTTTATTTGTTACTCTTGGACTGAAATAACATGGCGACAACATGGGGCGCTAGCAGACTTTGCTATCTATTTATCACTTGCACTTTCCTAAACTCATATTTTCTGTCTTGGCTGACATTCATCGTTGTTCCTTAATTCAGAACCCCCTCTTTGGTAACAGATTCCACACCCTGTGACTCAGTAGCTGTGTGTGCATTATACTGACCCACAAGCTGCTCAACCACATTTTAATCTAGAATGATGCGTAAATTCTACCTGCACAGTTTTTTTGTGCAGTTTGTTGGATGAACCCAGGATTTTTTATGAGAAAACTATTGTTAAGGTAACCATGAATGTGTCATGCAATACACTGCTTATATTTTTCCATGTAATTTAGACTGAAAGATTTGTAGAATCAGAATTTCTAGGGTAGGTACAGTAAATTATATTTTTCTGCTGGAAATATTTTTAAGAGTAAGTTACTTGCAAAATAAGTATACACGTATTACATTCCATGTGTGTACTTCTATAGCACAAAATTCCAAATATGTACAGAAATATATATCTTCCCATGTCAGATTATTTATGTCATCCTATGTCATCCAAATACTTTTTAGCAACAAGAATTAACTTTGATCTCATTTTAAATTTCTCCATAAAAAGACATCTGAACTCTCCAAAGATAATCAACACTTAGTAGAAAGTGTGTCTGTACATGTCTTATTTTTTAAACATGTTGCTACAGTTTATGAATACTTTCAATTGTTTTTTGTTTTTTTAAATAAAAAACTTGATTTGAAACTTATAGTGGAATTTTACTGTGTTACTCAGTTTGAAATATTAAAGTGATTGAATAGTGTATTACAGTCTGATTTTGTTTGCTTCTGGATATTTAATTAGACATAGTGTTTGGTTTGCTTAAAATGGTTTGGAATATATCTGGAACACAAGATATTATCTCACTCCTTATGGCCAGTTATATGATATGAGGGAAAAAAAAACCTTTCGTGCTAGCTGTTCCTAGTAGTAATTTGTAAAGTTAAACTGATTCACATAACCTGTAGTGGAGCTTTTCAACCTCTTGAAAATTTTATTTCATTTTATCCCATTAAAAGCTCAAAGGGTAAAATGGATAAAAAGTAGGGGGATAAGGTTATCGCTTTAGAGATTCAGATCATAGGCTCTTCTTATGCCTATTTGCATAAGAAGACTTGTTTTCCCTTTAAATTGGATAGACTAGAGCAATAGGAAAGGATCATTTTTATCTACTAGTTTTAACAATAAATAGAGAAAAATAATTCAAAATAGTCAACCTTTTGGAATTATTTTATATTTGAATCAGTTATACACACACTTGAATGTTGGGAGGTTCTGAAATTTGCTTAGCTGGCTGTTCTTGAAAACCTCAGCATTATATTTTTCTTGAAATTACATGAAATACAATTTATGATAGCTTGATTCTATTCAGTTAGGATTTTTACATTGTTCACTATTATGATGTGAGTTGTAATATTTTGTAATAGTTCCTAAGGCATCATCTGTAATAGTTATAGAATTTGGCATTGGCTGGAAAATTCTTTTAGTGTGAAAAATAACATTTACTGCTAATCCTGGGTAATAAAGAAAGCAGTAACTATAAATAGCTATTAGTGTACAAGGACATTTTTAGATGAATCAAATTGTTTCGAACTAAATTGCCTATTCTATAAGGCCTTGCCTGTTTTCATTCAACTCACTTATATTTTAGCATTTGCACATCTATCTTTTCCCCAAATATAATATTTATACTAGCATATTAGCCTGTGTTATCTCCACCCACTTCTTGTGTTTACCCCAGTTGTTTTTATAAAACTGGTGAAAAGGTTTCCAAAACAATACATTTCACGATAGATTACTAGCTTTAACTGAATTAAGATATATTTACAGTCATAGATAGAGTTGGAAGAAGCTAAGAGATAACGAATCATCTCTGCTTGAGAATCTGATGAAGAGAAGCTCATCTTTCCCCTCAAGAATTGGTTCTGTTGCTGAACTGGTAATTATTTATTTTTTCTTAAGTTTTATTTACCATTCAGTTGGAAACAACCTTCCATCATTTAACTCCTCCCACCCCATTCCATATTCGGTAGTCTGAAACAGAATAAAACAGATCTTCACCACCTATTCAGATACTTAAAGTATCTGTCATATTCCATCTCAGTTGTTTTTTCTGAAGTCTAGAAATATCAAATTCTCTTACTTTTTCCAAGCCTTAGATTCTAATTTCTAACTTTTTTTTTGCCATTCTCTGAATTAATTTGATTTCTTGGATCCAGTCTCTTTATTTAAGGTGTTATCTGATACTATATGTAAGATAAAATGGAACTATTAATTCTCTGTGATTTGCAAATTTTAACTTTTTAGAAACCTAAGGTACCTTTTTAGCACCACATACCCTGCTGATTTCTAGTGAGTTTATGACTAGGGTTACCAGAATCTAGATTATTACTTGAAGTCACTGAAGAAGGAGTTTTCTTTATCTGTTTGCAGCTGGAAATATCTGTGTGCATTTTTGAAATCCAGATCTCTTTGCTCTAAAATTACATACATAGGCACACGCTATCTATCCTCCATTCTGTAAGTATTTGATTTTCTGTTTCCTAAATTTCTCTTAAAATTCATTCTGTTATTTTCAGTCCACTTTTCTAACTTAAGGCTACTTTTTGTATTTTCTTTCTGTCTACCTACCCAATTTTGTATCTTCCATAAATGTAATGAGTATTCTCATTATCTTTTCACTTAAATCATTAAAAAAAGATGTTGATGATAGGGCCCAGGACCAAACAATCTAGTTCTCCATTTGGTATCTCACTCCAGTGTGATAAAAAACCATGGATAAATACTCCTTCAGCAAAGTGTTCAGCTCAGCTAGAGATTTACCCAACAGCACTCTAACCCACCTATATTTAACTTGCTTTCCTAATTGTAATGTGTGCTTTTGAACTTAAACATACTACACTTACAGCGTTCTCACAATCTACTCAAGTTACACATAGAAGAGAATATTTTACCTCAGGGTTGAACCGTGGAGCCGTAGGTGCCCTCTGAGCTTGGTTGTTTTCTTACAGACAATTCATTACCTAGCTATGAAACATTTTCAATATTCAGCAGAGCACTGAGATTCAGAGCACTGAAAGTGTAACCTAGCTGGGTAATGAAATGTCTGCAAGAAAACAAGCTCAGAGAACACCATGGACACTATTACTCAAGTTAACTGATCAAAGCATGGATTAGTCTGATAAGACTTGGTTTTGAAAAATTCAAGGTGATTTATTAATGATATTTGTAGATAATTTTTCTTACTTGACACAGATATTTGTGTCAGATTAATTTGTTTTTCCCTTGGTAGTTTTTCTTCTCCACAACCTTTTTTTTTTTTTTGAAGATAAGGACACCATTTATTCTCTTCCAGTTATTTTAGTCATTCTTGTTTCTTAAAGAGAATAGGTTTGAGCAAATCATTCCACTGAAGCAGAATAACAAAGTAACCGTCTGTCTTGAAGATGCTTTGCATATAGAAGCTACTTCCTTTGATTCCACTGGTCAATATGGATAAGTCTTGATACTTACTGTGGCAGAAATGTTATGTATGTTGTGTGAAGTGAAGCAGACAAGTAAAGCATGCCAACTTGGCATGTTTTAGAATATACCCAACAAAAATGATGAACTCCAAATCAGTGCCTTTTCTGATTTTTCACTGAGTGATTTATATTGGTCTTAGTTTAGTTTTTCTCTTGTTTACTCTTGCAGTGTCCAAGTCCTTACAATGTTTAATTTCTGATTCTAGTCCTTAGAGGATT